AACTTTTTCTGGACTGGCTCACATCAACCTCTTTAATGCCATAAACATCAGCTTGCATGGAGCCCCTGTACAAAAATAATGACAAGTTTCAATGTACATCTTGAAATAATAATTATGGTTTTATTGGGCAAAAAATAAACACAGTTGCTTACTAAACACACAGCCTCTGTTATTACATGTCCATGTACTGATAAGTATTTATGTAAATTATACAGCGTAATATATAATTGCATGTAGAAGAAACAAAACACCAATGATTGTTTGCTCCAATTTCCCTATTTGTGAGAATATACTCTTCATGTAGTCTCCATTTCATCCCCACCTATTGCTTTCTCCAAGGAGCCATTAGAAAGCTTAAGCAACCACAATGGCAACCCCAAGGACAATGTAAAAATATGAATTCATATTCAACCTATGAATCTCTCACTGTCTATCACTGTCACTGCTATCCCAAAACTAATATGTTTTAAAATTCGAAAAAGATATTTTCAAATTTTAACAAGAATTCCCAAGAATTATAATGTACGTGCATAACCTGTTTGTTTGGTGACATTCCTGTTGCTAATGCCATTGTGGTACTCCCTATAAACCTGGAGAAGGACAGGAAAGGAAGGGGAGGAGGCAGCTTAAATTTAAGCTAATTTTCACATATTTTGACCAATAATAAATTGATACCCCTATTACTCTATGTCATGGGAACCCAAGGTTTAACTTACTTAACACCATGCACAAGCTACAAAGCAGTGTGAAATCTAAACAGAGGCACTAAAGGCTATGACCTAAGAAAGATGCTTGTCTTTGACTGATGGCTCTTTGCAGAGATGCCAACCTTAAAAAATCAAACTCTGGGAGATTGTCAATTTTTCATTCTTGATCCTAAAAAAGGTGTTAAAAGCAGAGTCGTGCTGATTCAAACAATAAACTACCTCAAATATCCAAAATGTTTTCCCCTGAAAAATGCCAAAAATCAGCCAAAAAAATGTAAAAAAAGGTTTCAGCATGTTCCTTCATATCCAGGAGATTTGGAGACCTGTACAGAAGACCAGCTGATTCAGTCTGTGACTAGGAGACTCCTGGATAATTGGGAAGAGTTAACATGGATGTTTTTGTGCACTGGATCTTCAGGTAAAAATATTAATTAAATAACTGTGTATCCTTATTCTTTCTGTATCACTTAATTAAAGAGCAAGTGTCACGCAATATTCTGTTTGTGTGGTACTTTCCTCATTCATGCCACCGGTATATTTAAATATACTGGGAATTGTGAAAATTTCCCGACCTCTACTCCCTTAACTCATAATGGGTGCTATGTTAAAACTCTTCTATTTTGAATCAATGCTATCAGAACTCATGAAAAATAATTAACTCATCACATATATTAGGAGATTTTTGGCACACAAAATTTTGCTTCAAAATATTACTTGTTTTATTAGCTCTCCATATCCTGCTCCATAGAAGTGAAATTTTCAAGAAACTCTGAACATGCAGCTCACAATTTGTACCCTTTGAAGAAACTTTGACAAAAATTCAGCACCTGTTAGAGACACTTGAGTCTTAAAAGCAGGACCTGTCTGAAAATACTCAAAAAAACCACAAGTTGCTATTTGTCTATGTTATGAAAAGAGACAATGACTGACATTTTATACTGAGTTTTGGGGTTAGAATCAGGAATCTAAACTGCATTGTGTGCTGTTAGGAAATATCCATAACTATGAAGGCAGACTTGAAGAGCCATTATACTTTTAAAAGAAAGCATAAAGCTAGGCTGGAATTTCTAGAGGGGTGCACTAACAGGTCATAGACCTCCCATGCATGGGAGGAGTATGGATATTTTGTAGAATCATACATCAGGCATTATGGAATATCTGGCAGTCAGGGAAACAAGTACTTGCTGATGATGGCTGGCAACATTCAGCTCCAGAAAATTTGATTTTCATACCTGAAATTGCTAAACAATACTACATACCCTGGTTTGACTGTTTTAGAATGTTCAAGAGTCCTTAAACAATTTATTAATTGATGTTGATTTCCCAAAAGGGCACTTGTTCCCATGAGTAATGTTTTGCCCAAATGTTCACAGCCTCTGGTTAATTACCAATAATGAGCTATGAGATTCTCCATGAATATCAGCAGATTTAATTTCTGTCCCTTATTTCCCACAAATCAGTTTGTAAATAGAACAGTATCTTTTATATAGGACATTTTCAAATTGTTTGTTCAGCTCACAATTCTAGTAGTTCCAGTCAATAGATCCCCATTTGATAACAGATGAATTAAAATCCAGTAAAAGCATTTGCTAGCTGTTTGCCGGTAAATACAATGCCAAGAGCCCCGCAAATGAGGCCCAAAACGATGACAGAAACCCTTACCACTATGTTGTACCATTTGAGCTCATTCCATTTCAGAACCATGTGGAAAAGACAGGGGAACACAAAACAGAGACAGGTACCAGTAAAGCTACCCACTAAGCCCATGAATAAGCCAAAATGTGGTACGACTATCGCCATCAATAGACCAAAGGTCAGGACTAATGGGCGCGATAATATGATCCAAAACCAGTGATTCCCTGAATCTTTATGCAGGTGTGGAAAGTACGGCAGGATCTGGTGATCAAGTGTTTCCAGCACAATGTAGCTAACGATAGGGAAAGCTGTGAACACATTTGTTACAACCAAGGCATTGGCCAGAATGTAGAATACCCGATTGGTTTTGAGGTTGACAGTGATGGCTTGCTCGGTACCTTCTCCAAATCGTAGCACAGGAAGAAGGCCAAAAGCAACTTTGACTACTGCTGCCAGTAGGAATGCAACGTTCATCATCATCGGATACTGCTTAGGGTGCTTCATGCTTCCCTCTACTCCTGGGAACACTGCATGGGCAGTGTAGCTGAAGACAATGACGCCAAATCCAACAGGGAAGGTATTGATGTCAAATGTAGGAATGTTGTCAATAGACATATCCTTGTACTGGGTGATTGAGTAGATGATGATTGTAAAGATGGATGACATCAGTGCGAACACTGAGATCATGCTGATCCAAGCAATCACTGATACCCGACGGAGAAAAAAGGTAGGAAGAGCGATGCATGCGCTGATGGAAGACCAGGTGTAGATATCAAACGGGGCATACTTGTATAAGATATCATTAAAAATGGTACCCAGTAAGACAAGGTAAGTGATGATACCACCATACATCTCAATAAACTGCACCAAACTCACAATGCGGTTCCCCCACCCGGGCCAGACGGCTTCTCCGACTTCTGGGTAGTTGACTCGGACTCGCTTCACCTTCCCCGTGCGCTTGGACTTTTCATATAAACACTCGATCAACAACTTCCCGGTGTAGCAACACAAAAAGGCGATGAGCGCATTGGCGGCAACGGCCGCCCATCCACCCATCCGCACGGCGTACGGTACCCCAAGGATGCCCGTTCCTTGGATGAGGTTTGTGACATTCCAACCCGCGAGGAAAGCCGAGGCACGTCGATCATCTGAAGGCTTTTCCAGCAGCGAAACGGTCATGGTCGCCAACTTTAGCTTGTGTACGCTCTGAGAGAAGCCGCCTCGCGATAAACTCCCTCCGGCGATGCCCGAATTCGTTCTCGATCTCACATCATCTTGCACCGACAACAGAGGTGAATGTTCGTCCAAGGGTACGACTGTCGCTTGGTTTTGTGCGGTCATGGCGATGCCTTCGTTGCCCTGCTGTTCGGACGCCATGTCTGGGCGAAGATCTTTTAACTTCCTTTTCTATCTTTTCAGTTAACCAGTTGCAAATCGTGTGTGGAAGTAATCCTGTTGAAGGCGAAATTTGCAAACAACAATTGAATCGTATTTACAAGACGGCGATTGTAGGACGCGAAGATCTCTTGTCTTCTTTTGCTGTCGTTTCAAGTTAAGCTATTGTGCTAAACTCTCTCGTTGGAACTGTCCTGGCTTAGCCTAGGTCTGCAAAAACTGGTTGTATTGATTGCATGATACTCGTAACAAGTTCGCCGGAGACTGAGCTTGAATATTGACCTTTGTCCGCGTGGCGGTGTTGTGTTACTGTTTACCTTTGTTTACCTGTATTCCGGCTAATTTAGCTGTCCTTCAGAGAAGTCTTCAGAATATTTGAACATTATATGAAAACAGGCTTTTGCGACTATAAGAACAGACTTCACTCACTTAACTCCAGTACTGGTCACTTAATTATTTCTGTCACGTAGCTTCCAAGTGTTTTGTCTTTGTGTCTGAAACGTACATGTACAGTGTAGTTGTTGATCTGGCGCAAGAATGGTCCTATTGATTACATATGCGCACTTTATAGGCGGCTTGGAATAACTTTCTTCTCCTTTTCTTTTCTTTTTCTTTTCTTTCCTTTTTGCTCATCTGAAATTAGTGAGTCCCGCGATTTCGGGACGACGCCTGAAATACAAAGTAGAAAGAACTGAATTTAAAAGAACTGTGATTGATATTTTTTTCTGTTTTTTAGAAACGATTCGATGCTCCCGTGTTCGAAGCTGCCAAACCATGGATAGTCCACTATCCATGGCCAAACTGATCGTGACGAGTCACGAGTTACCCTTTATACAGAATAAGAGGCTACTGTACTCTTTTTGGTCGTCTTTCGGTTCGGCTTCGGTCAATACGTTCCATGCATGATCGTGGCACGGGTTTATTCCCATATGAAAAGTGCGGGGGATGCCCGTCGTACCTAAGCGGTTTTGGCACCTCTTAATGGTGTTCAGCCTCACAAGGTCCACGGCGGGAGTTTTTTAGGGTATTGAGCCGAATTAAAACATGACAAGAGATACCGTAGCTGAAATGATTTTACAACGCTGGACAACTTTTAATCAATCTCCGACGGCTACATTCGCATAAAGTAAAGGAAAAACAAAATAAGCTATTCATAAGTAAATTTAAACGAAAAAAAAAAAGACAATTGTTTCAATGACAAAAGAAAAAGCACCAACACCAATGAGTAGCTCAATTGAAACAACAAGATGACGACCAATTTAGCGAGTAGAAGGTATTTGAAGCAATCGTCCTCATCACTATCAAAACTTATAAAAGCCTCGGAATTGGTACCTCTTAGGGGTGAAAAAAGTTTCAAGCCACGCCCACAAAAGGGATCTTGGTATCTCAGTTAGGGATTGTTTTCAAAATTTCCAACGGGGGTCTAAATCAGGACCGCCAAATTCCAGAGGACACTCAAACCATGAACACTTCGCATTTCTTGAACAGTTTTTGGTTATTATCCAATGGGGGCATTTGATATAAACAGAGGGATTAGCGTCAAAAAGACGCTAATCCCCTTGTCTGTATCAAGAGCCCTTATTGGATAATCATCAAAAAATGCACACAACTGTCACATGATCACAGGCTATTGCTAACTGGACACCTTTGAAGTGGTCTAGTCTTTCCGCTCTGATCCTTTATAGTCTAGCTGGACTGTCTAGTCCGTCTGTGTGGCAGAGACTCGGAGAGAGGGAATGAACTGATTTATCTCGAGCCGGGACATCTACAGTTGGTTTCTCGATTCAAGACAGACCAAGGACAGTTTGAAACAGTCAATAGATAGTTTACTGAACTGAAGCTGCTACATCTTTGTGGAAAACAAAATAAGTTGTGGTTCAAATACAAGTTCTCGTGTCTTGGTCTTTTTTGTTTCTGCTGAACTATGACAGACCTTCTAGAAGTCGTTTCCAATATTACTTCCCTGGCTTCGTTCGAGGGACATGAATAAACGAAAGATTAAACACAGCCGGTCGACTTGTAGCAAGTGTAAACTACCACCGGGACACACATACCACCTTGAATCCTGCATTAAACAGCCATGCTAACCGCTTTACGTCGAATAATACTGTAGTTACACAAGACCACGTCTAAATTCAGTCTCGGCGTGTATTGTTGTTTATCTTTATTTTAATAAGCTTTAATAGCAAAATTTCTTGGACGAGAAAGTGACCTATGTCTTTAGGCTTTTCGTGTTTTTTGTTAATTTTTTCCCACCTTTCCTTTTTCTCCATTTCTTATCTTTTTGCTACAGTTGTTGACCTTCCAGTGTGCTTGCTGCCAATTCATGTGTATAGTTGGGGGAAATTTTGCTCCGAGATTTTGACTCACATTGCTGAGCATTTTCGTGCATATTTCACGCTCAATTGACTTAATGACTCTGATCTGGGTATCATTGAAGATAATTTTTTTTCCTGCTGCAGAACTTGAGTATAGAACAAAGGCTAACGTTCATTACGGGCGGCAATAGCGTCAATGGATTAAGGGAGTTTTCTCCAGGGAGGGAAGCGGTGATTTATTCCTTTCTTCACTTTGACAAAGGAAAAAAAAATATTGAAACATCATGTGACAAAATGAGTATGAAAAAAAGGGGCTGTAAGTGAAAGCACCAAGTTCTTATGGATGACATGAAACTTTAACACTTAAATTAATTATATTCCCAGCAGACTGATACATGCTTAAAATGCCTGCAAATAGTTGTTGTACATGAAATGACAGTTGAAAAATATGGTTACATACATTTTGGCATTATTGCAAATATTGTATGTACATGTGGCACTGCCACACCACTAACAAGTAAATTTAGAAAATTTTAGTGTAAAATATCAAAGGTGCCCAATCAAATCCTTGCCCCTCAGTTGAGGTTAAACTGAATAGTTAAAAAAAAACATTTAGCTTTCTCTAGCATGGTTTTACATAATTGGTATTTTGGCTTTTGTTCATAACCATGAAAAGCTGTTCGCCCAAAAGCAAAAAAGAAATCCTATTAAACCATTTCAAATTTAACATCCCAAGAGATTGTAATCCTTTTTGTTGGCACCAAGAATCAAGATCTCTGACCTTTTCTGATTTGCAAGTTTGCTATAAACAGTTACTGAAAGATTTTGCCGAAAACTAATTGGCTGAAAATAAACTGAGAATGAGTACTCTGCACCTGCTTTAAAAAATAAGCTGTTGCCAGAGGTTGCATTTCTTGATGCTGACTAAAAGGATTGTGGCCTCCGGGGACAAGAATGGCGAAAGCTAACTAAGACTTAAGGCCCATTTACACAGAAAATGTTTGCTATTTCCTTTGAGTTTTCTGCTGCACTTGTGTTGCAACCAGCTGCAACCTCAGTGCAATTTAAGCATGATATTGTTAGACTTTCTATGTATTTTAACACACATGTTGTCCCAGAGTATCTGCAGTCATCTCACAATGACACTAAAATCACCAAATCACACTGAGAACATAGCTGGTTTACATACATATTTAAGTTGCGATCCAAGTGCAACAGAAATCTTGAATTTCAGTTATCTATGTCTAGCAAATAAATTCACACCAGATAACTAATTTAGTATTTTATAATATTTATAAAATGTTTTGTGATTCAGGCTACAAAAATCCATTTGGGTGAGTGATGATTCCTGTACAAAAGTGCACTTTTCTACAGTAACAACTCACACCAAAATGTTGTTTTAAAAATAAACCCTTTGCTATTTTATCCTTGCAACCCAGTCAAAATTTGTCAACAAAATTTCAAGAGTGATTAATAAAATAAGCCCTGAAAAATTTACTATAAATTGATATCAACAAAAAAAAACAGATGAATTAAAATCCAGTAAAAGCATTTGCTAGCTGTTTGCCGGTAAATACAATGCCAAGAGCCCCGCAAATGAGGCCCAAAACGATGACAGAAACCCTTACCACTATGTTGTACCATTTGAGCTCATTCCATTTCAGAACCATGTGGAAAAGACAGGGGAACACAAAACAGAGACAGGTACCAGTAAAGCTACCCACTAAGCCCATGAATAAGCCAAAATGTGGTACGACTATCGCCATCAATAGACCAAAGGTCAGGACTAATGGGCGCGATAATATGATCCAAAACCAGTGATTCCCTGAATCTTTATGCAGGTGTGGAAAGTACGGCAGGATCTGGTGATCAAGTGTTTCCAGCACAATGTAGCTAACGATAGGGAAAGCTGTGAACACATTTGTTACAACCAAGGCATTGGCCAGAATGTAGAATACCCGATTGGTTTTGAGGTTGACAGTGATGGCTTGCTCGGTACCTTCTCCAAATCGTAGCACAGGAAGAAGGCCAAAAGCAACTTTGACTACTGCTGCCAGTAGGAATGCAACGTTCATCATCATCGGATACTGCTTAGGGTGCTTCATGCTTCCCTCTACTCCTGGGAACACTGCATGGGCAGTGTAGCTGAAGACAATGACGCCAAATCCAACAGGGAAGGTATTGATGTCAAATGTAGGAATGTTGTCAATAGACATATCCTTGTACTGGGTGATTGAGTAGATGATGATTGTAAAGATGGATGACATCAGTGCGAACACTGAGATCATGCTGATCCAAGCAATCACTGATACCCGACGGAGAAAAAAGGTAGGAAGAGCGATGCATGCGCTGATGGAAGACCAGGTGTAGATATCAAACGGGGCATACTTGTATAAGATATCATTAAAAATGGTACCCAGTAAGACAAGGTAAGTGATGATACCACCATACATCTCAATAAACTGCACCAAACTCACAATGCGGTTCCCCCACCCGGGCCAGACGGCTTCTCCGACTTCTGGGTAGTTGACTCGGACTCGCTTCACCTTCCCCGTGCGCTTGGACTTTTCATATAAACACTCGATCAACAACTTCCCGGTGTAGCAACACAAAAAGGCGATGAGCGCATTGGCGGCAACGGCCGCCCATCCACCCATCCGCACGGCGTACGGTACCCCAAGGATGCCCGTTCCTTGGATGAGGTTTGTGACATTCCAACCCGCGAGGAAAGCCGAGGCACGTCGATCATCTGAAGGCTTTTCCAGCAGCGAAACGGTCATGGTCGCCAACTTTAGCTTGTGTACGCTCTGAGAGAAGCCGCCTCGCGATAAACTCCCTCCGGCGATGCCCGAATTCGTTCTCGATCTCACATCATCTTGCACCGACAACAGAGGTGAATGTTCGTCCAAGGGTACGACTGTCGCTTGGTTTTGTGCGGTCATGGCGATGCCTTCGTTGCCCTGCTGTTCGGACGCCATGTCTGGGCGAAGATCTTTTAACTTCCTTTTCTATCTTTTCAGTTAACCAGTTGCAAATCGTGTGTGGAAGTAATCCTGTTGAAGGCGAAATTTGCAAACAACAATTGAATCGTATTTACAAGACGGCGATTGTAGGACGCGAAGATCTCTTGTCTTCTTTTGCTGTCGTTTCAAGTTAAGCTATTGTGCTAAACTCTCTCGTTGGAACTGTCCTGGCTTAGCCTAGGTCTGCAAAAACTGGTTGTATTGATTGCATGATACTCGTAACAAGTTCGCCGGAGACTGAGCTTGAATATTGACCTTTGTCCGCGTGGCGGTGTTGTGTTACTGTTTACCTTTGTTTACCTGTATTCCGGCTAATTTAGCTGTCCTTCAGAGAAGTCTTCAGAATATTTGAACATTATATGAAAACAGGCTTTTGCGACTATAAGAACAGACTTCACTCACTTAACTCCAGTACTGGTCACTTAATTATTTCTGTCACGTAGCTTCCAAGTGTTTTGTCTTTGTGTCTGAAACGTACATGTACAGTGTAGTTGTTGATCTGGCGCAAGAATGGTCCTATTGATTACATATGCGCACTTTATAGGCGGCTTGGAATAACTTTCTTCTCCTTTTCTTTTCTTTTTCTTTTCTTTCCTTTTTGCTCATCTGAAATTAGTGAGTCCCGCGATTTCGGGACGACGCCTGAAATACAAAGTAGAAAGAACTGAATTTAAAAGAACTGTGATTGATATTTTTTTCTGTTTTTTAGAAACGATTCGATGCTCCCGTGTTCGAAGCTGCCAAACCATGGATAGTCCACTATCCATGGCCAAACTGATCGTGACGAGTCACGAGTTACCCTTTATACAGAATAAGAGGCTACTGTACTCTTTTTGGTCGTCTTTCGGTTCGGCTTCGGTCAATACGTTCCATGCATGATCGTGGCACGGGTTTATTCCCATATGAAAAGTGCGGGGGATGCCCGTCGTACCTAAGCGGTTTTGGCACCTCTTAATGGTGTTCAGCCTCACAAGGTCCACGGCGGGAGTTTTTTAGGGTATTGAGCCGAATTAAAACATGACAAGAGATACCGTAGCTGAAATGATTTTACAACGCTGGACAACTTTTAATCAATCTCCGACGGCTACATTCGCATAAAGTAAAGGAAAAACAAAATAAGCTATTCATAAGTAAATTTAAACGAAAAAAAAAAAGACAATTGTTTCAATGACAAAAGAAAAAGCACCAACACCAATGAGTAGCTCAATTGAAACAACAAGATGACGACCAATTTAGCGAGTAGAAGGTATTTGAAGCAATCGTCCTCATCACTATCAAAACTTATAAAAGCCTCGGAATTGGTACCTCTTAGGGGTGAAAAAAGTTTCAAGCCACGCCCACAAAAGGGATCTTGGTATCTCAGTTAGGGATTGTTTTCAAAATTTCCAACGGGGGTCTAAATCAGGACCGCCAAATTCCAGAGGACACTCAAACCATGAACACTTCGCATTTCTTGAACAGTTTTTGGTTATTATCCAATGGGGGCATTTGATATAAACAGAGGGATTAGCGTCAAAAAGACGCTAATCCCCTTGTCTGTATCAAGAGCCCTTATTGGATAATCATCAAAAAATGCACACAACTGTCACATGATCACAGGCTATTGCTAACTGGACACCTTTGAAGTGGTCTAGTCTTTCCGCTCTGATCCTTTATAGTCTAGCTGGACTGTCTAGTCCGTCTGTGTGGCAGAGACTCGGAGAGAGGGAATGAACTGATTTATCTCGAGCCGGGACATCTACAGTTGGTTTCTCGATTCAAGACAGACCAAGGACAGTTTGAAACAGTCAATAGATAGTTTACTGAACTGAAGCTGCTACATCTTTGTGGAAAACAAAATAAGTTGTGGTTCAAATACAAGTTCTCGTGTCTTGGTCTTTTTTGTTTCTGCTGAACTATGACAGACCTTCTAGAAGTCGTTTCCAATATTACTTCCCTGGCTTCGTTCGAGGGACATGAATAAACGAAAGATTAAACACAGCCGGTCGACTTGTAGCAAGTGTAAACTACCACCGGGACACACATACCACCTTGAATCCTGCATTAAACAGCCATGCTAACCGCTTTACGTCGAATAATACTGTAGTTACACAAGACCACGTCTAAATTCAGTCTCGGCGTGTATTGTTGTTTATCTTTATTTTAATAAGCTTTAATAGCAAAATTTCTTGGACGAGAAAGTGACCTATGTCTTTAGGCTTTTCGTGTTTTTTGTTAATTTTTTCCCACCTTTCCTTTTTCTCCATTTCTTATCTTTTTGCTACAGTTGTTGACCTTCCAGTGTGCTTGCTGCCAATTCATGTGTATAGTTGGGGGAAATTTTGCTCCGAGATTTTGACTCACATTGCTGAGCATTTTCGTGCATATTTCACGCTCAATTGACTTAATGACTCTGATCTGGGTATCATTGAAGATAATTTTTTTTCCTGCTGCAGAACTTGAGTATAGAACAAAGGCTAACGTTCATTACGGGCGGCAATAGCGTCAATGGATTAAGGGAGTTTTCTCCAGGGAGGGAAGCGGTGATTTATTCCTTTCTTCACTTTGACAAAGGAAAAAAAAAATTGAAACATCATGTGACAAAATGAGTATGAAAAAAAGGGGCTGTAAGTGAAAGCACCAAGTTCTTATGGATGACATGAAACTTTAACACTTAAATTAATTATATTCCCAGCAGACTGATACATGCTTAAAATGCCTGCAAATAGTTGTTGTACATGAAATGACAGTTGAAAAATATGGTTACATACATTTTGGCATTATTGCAAATATTGTATGTACATGTGGCACTGCCACACCACTAACAAGTAAATTTAGAAAATTTTAGTGTAAAATATCAAAGGTGCCCAATCAAATCCTTGCCCCTCAGTTGAGGTTAAACTGAATAGTTAAAAAAAAACATTTAGCTTTCTCTAGCATGGTTTTACATAATTGGTATTTTGGCTTTTGTTCATAACCATGAAAAGCTGTTCGCCCAAAAGCAAAAAAGAAATCCTATTAAACCATTTCAAATTTAACATCCCAAGAGATTGTAATCCTTTTTGTTGGCACCAAGAATCAAGATCTCTGACCTTTTCTGATTTGCAAGTTTGCTATAAACAGTTACTGAAAGATTTTGCCGAAAACTAATTGGCTGAAAATAAACTGAGAATGAGTACTCTGCACCTGCTTTAAAAAATAAGCTGTTGCCAGAGGTTGCATTTCTTGATGCTGACTAAAAGGATTGTGGCCTCCGGGGACAAGAATGGCGAAAGCTAACTAAGACTTAAGGCCCATTTACACAGAAAATGTTTGCTATTTCCTTTGAGTTTTCTGCTGCACTTGTGTTGCAACCAGCTGCAACCTCAGTGCAATTTAAGCATGATATTGTTAGACTTTCTATGTATTTTAACACACATGTTGTCCCAGAGTATCTGCAGTCATCTCACAATGACACTAAAATCACCAAATCACACTGAGAACATAGCTGGTTTACATACATATTTAAGTTGCGATCCAAGTGCAACAGAAATCTTGAATTTCAGTTATCTATGTCTAGCAAATAAATTCACACCAGATAACTAATTTAGTATTTTATAATATTTATAAAATGTTTTGTGATTCAGGCTACAAAAATCCATTTGGGTGAGTGATGATTCCTGTACAAAAGTGCACTTTTCTACAGTAACAACTCACACCAAAATGTTGTTTTAAAAATAAACCCTTTGCTATTTTATCCTTGCAACCCAGTCAAAATTTGTCAACAAAATTTCAAGAGTGATTAATAAAATAAGCCCTGAAAAATTTACTATAAATTGATATCAACAAAAAAAATATGTTTTCAATCATTATTTATATGTTCCCTTTCGATGCATTTACCAGTTCAATAGTAGAAAATACCACTCCAAGGATTCCACAGCCAATACCAAACACTGTGACAAGAACTCTGCAAACTACCTGGAACCAGTTAAGCTTCTTCCACTTCAGCTTGAGATGGAAAACACAAGGAAATATGAAACACAAGCTGGTTCCTGTTAGGCTGCCAAGCAGGCCCATAACCAGACCAAAATGAGGAACAGTGATTGCCAGGAAGACACCAAAAATAAGGAGCAACGGCCTTGTGAGAATCAACCAAAACCAATGGAAACCTGACTCTTTGGACAGGTGAGGAAAATGAGGAAGCATTTTGTTGTCCCAGGTTTCCAACACTACGAACATGACAAGAGGAAAAGCAAGGACGACATTGGCAATCACAAAGGTGTTGGAGAGAATGTAGAAGACAGAACTGGTCTTGATGTTGATGGTTATGGCCTGGTTAAGCTCTTGTCCATATCGAAACACACCCATAAGGCCCAGAATCAGTTTTGTGATTGTCGAGTTTGCAAACGCAACATTCAACATCATGGGATACTGTTCAGGATATCGCATGCTTCCTTCCACCCCTGGGAACACGGCGTGTGCTGTGAAGCTGAACACTATGATGCCAAATCCAACCAGGAAGGAGTTCAACTGGAAACCTGGCATGTTGTGGACACTCATCTTGTCGTACTGCGTAACACAATAGATGATGATTGTCAGGACTGCGGAGAACAGGGAGAAAACTGAAATCATGCTGATCCAGGCGATTACTGACACTCGAGTGATAAAGATTCCAGGAAGGACAAAACAGCCCACAAGCACAGACCATTCATAGACATTCATGGAAGTTCTGTTGTGAAACAAGTCAAGAAAGATAGAGGCCATTAGCACAATGTATGTCACCGCTATTCCAGACATCTCGCACACCTGCACAATGCTGACGATCTTGTTCCCCCATCCGGGCCAAAAGGCTTCGCCAACATCCGGGTAGTTGACCCTTACTCTTTTCTTTTGACCCGTGCGCTTGGAGTCTTCGTACAGACACTCGATCAACAACTTGCCAGTGTAACAACAAAGGTAACCGCAAATGAGAATAGACACAACAGCGGCCCACCCTCCCAGTTTCACAGCATACGGTATGCCCAAAATCCCCGTGCCTTGGATAAGATTTGTTACATTCCAACCGGCGAGAAACGCTGAAGCTCTGCGATCGTCGGAGGGTTTTTCGATCAAGGACATAGTCATTGTCGCGGAACGTAATCTCATTAAACTACGGGACAGTGCCATTCTTGATAAGCTTACTCCGAGAAAGCTCTTCCCAACTTCAGGTTCGCCCCGAGTCAAAGGCGCCTTCTCTCCCAACGGTACGACAGTTGGCCCCGATGGCCCCAAAGCGATCTCTTCACAAGGTTGTCTAACTCTTGGGGTTGGTATTGCAAGCAGAGGGGAGTTTTCCGCCATTGTTGATTGTTTCCGTTCGCAGTGTCCTGCTGTGTTTTAAGGTTGTTCGCCACGTGTAGATTTCTGTAAACAGTTCTTGCATCAAAAGGCAAACACGTACTTGAGATTCTCTTACCCGTTGTTGCCTTTGTGACGTACATCTAGACATCCTTGGTGTGTGTTTTTCACGTGTTCTTGTTTCCCAAGGGGAAACTAGGACCAACCAACTAGCCAATCACAGAACCAAACACTTCGTACATTGTCCTTTGTTTACAACAAAATCTTAAAAAACCCTAGTCGTTGTATTTGTTCATCAAAACAAGAGAAGAGTACATTAAAACTACAAAGTTCTCTTTATAAAAATTATGCGTTCCTTCACGGCGTTTCAACAACAAATTAGATCCAGACGTCACGCGTCACACAACACTTCTCTCGGGGAGTGAGTCTCGCGGTACGCTGCGCCTGCTTGCATCCGGTTTTTCGAGAAAAACAATAACAACACTGCGTTCGCAGGTTACAATGTAGGCTCAATTTCCACCGCTTTCTCGAGTCGGTCTATGTTCCTCCCCGAGAAGAGCTGGTAATCGAGCCTAGTTACGATGGTGAGAATGAAATAAGAAGTAAAACCACCCCTCCCCCCAAATCAATGATGAACTGTTGCTATTAAAACCCAAAACGCGCCTTTTTTTCCATTATTGAAATGGGGGGAGGGGTGGTGTTAAATTTTCATGTAAATTGTCCAATATTGTAGCTTTGGGCTGGGATTGGAAAATCATTTTAGACGCCTGGTGGAAAATATGAAATTGTTTCATTGGCATTAAACTCAATGTTGGGACATGAAGAACTTATCAACTCACATTTCTAGTGACTCTGTAGTAAGTGAAAATTGATGTTCTCTAAGCCCTAAGCTGAGTCAAAACCTGTCTAAATCAAATTTTTGGAATAGCTGGGTTCTACCAAGCCACTGCATATTTCCAATAAATTATTTTTTTTCCTGAAATGAAATAGGTACCATTAAGTCAATATTTTGGTTTGGTCACAGTCAGACACATCCTCAGGAACCCAAGGGCAGGTGGTCAGGTAAGGAGGAAAGTCACTAGATCGGATGCCAGTCCATTCCAGGGATCCTCCCCAGAATTAATTTCACCGGTACCCATTTATACACCTGGGTGGAGAGAGGCACTGTGAGAGTAATGTCTTGCCCTGAAGAACATAAGTAACCCCAGCCATGGTTTGAACCCAGACCACTTGATCTGGAGTCCAACACACCAACCATTAGGCAAGTGGTTTGTGCTACAGACAATGTTGAAATTTATATTTCCTTTAGTTTACTGTATACATGAAATTCATAATGGCAATACCAAAATGCAGTCCAGTGAAGGAGTGTATATATTGCTGCATGTTTACATCTGTGAAATGATATAGTCAAGGATGTTTTATATAACAACAAA